AAAGCGTATGGGGCCATCCATTAAGGACGTCACCATTTTTTAGCCAATTTTTGACCCCCTCTCCCCCTTTGTCACCGGTTGTCCTTTTTCCTTATACCCCCCTTGAAAAGGACGTCATAAAATCCTGAACCCCCCTATTTTTAACTCCAAAAAAATTTATTTCATCTCGCAATGATGTTTGAATCTGCTGCTACACCTTTGAAAAATAAAATTAAAAATATTCTCATACATTATCTTCTTAAAAACACATGTTTACGTAGTTTTCCATGTTAATTAAGCTAAAATAAAACATCTATAAAGTGACGTCCTTTTCTGACAACCTCCCCCCTCTCCTTTTCCTTTTTTGTCCTTTTTAACTCGACCCCCTCCCCTCCTATTTGGATGACGTCCTTTATGGATGGCCCCTACCCTACAAGATAGCAGGACATGAAGCAGTTTGTACTGGGTTACATGGTTACAATATATATATATATATATATATATATATATATATATATATATATATATATATATATATATATATATATATATATATATATATATATATATATTCTACATTTAAGATAACTTCAAAATTTTAATTTTGGGTTCTTTTGAAGATCGCGGGGTATAGAGATGGCAATAGTTGTTAAAAAATATATTGGCAAGCATTCTACAATGTTTTTTTGAAACATTGGTAAATCAAACTGCATAAGTCACATGATTTTCTGCCATAAGTCATATACATAAGTCACATGATTTTCTGCCATGATTAACTGCATAAGTCACATGATTTTCTGCCAAAATTATATTGAATAATCAAAAATATTGAAAGGTTTTAATTCTTAGAATAAATAGTCTTGAAGTTATATTAATCTTTAGTTTAAATGAAAATGTATGTTTACAATTCCTTGAAAGTCTGATTATAAGAAATATTACAAGCTAATGAAGTTTATATAACTTATGAAGTCTATAAAGTTATATATTTATACAAATTTATGAGAAGTTTATATAAGCTAAATAATATATAAAACACAGCTGACTTTCCAATTGTTGTAATAGAAAGCATCATGCATTAGATGGAGGTGATGAGGCAAGGACTATTGGTTATGATTCATCAAAGTTTTTTGATAAAGTTTAACATGCTAGTCTTCTCCATAAGCTCACTTTGTATCTGGGAAAGCTTTTGAAATTATTAAATCATTTCTTTCTAAGCGCAGTAATAAAGTCATTCTCAAAAGCCAACATTCTGTATTTTCAGTAACTTTTGGGGTACCACGAGGTTCTGTCCTTGGTCATTTATTGTTTCAAATCTATATTAATAATCTTCTTGACAATCTTACATCTAAAGTTTCTCTATTTGCTGATGATTAACAAAAAGCCATTATTTTAAGTGCTTAAAACAGGCATCAGATCTTGAGTCCAATCTTCTTCTGTAACTTATAAGCAGCTGTGGTGCAGTGGTAGCACACTTGCCTCAGAAACGTAAGATCCATGGTTCAAACCCCACCTCTGGGCAATTTTTGCGATATCGGTTGGGAAGGAAGCGTGAACTTCCTATTAAATGCTCTTCCGCAGTGCTCTGTGATAAGACCGTAAGGACTTCTTGGGGCACCTAAATCAACTTTGAAAAAAAAAAAAAAAAAACTACTTTCAACTGTTACAGGAAAGATGTCTTGTAATTTTAACTCCAGCAAGATTTACTGCCAATAATTATTGCAATATTTTATCTTATATTGTTAAATGGCAACACTCTCACTAAGTACTCTTCTTTACATCTTCTTGGATTGTCATTCACTGCTGCCCTCCCATGGAAACGATATACAATCCATTGCAAAGTTAGCATCTGAATAGGTTGCCTCTCTTTATTGTGCTTGCTTTTTCTTTTTTTTCAATTCCAACTTCTACAGATACCATTACAGATCTTTTATTCTCTCCTTTATAGAATACTTTTGTCATATAAAAATGCTCTAATTTTTGCTTGACTTGTCATTCAGAAAAGTTGCGCCCTTGTACTGTATTTGTCCCATCATGCTCTAAAGACTTTTATTTATTTTTTTAGCTGTTTTAGTCTTCTGTCAACCATTTCCTTGCTCTTTAACAATATTTTTTGTTTTTTCAAAACTTAAATTTAATAGTGGATAAATAATTCTAGATAAATAAAAAAATGGATTAATAATTCTGTAACCTCCAAACTTAACAGTCGTTGCTTGCACTCTTGTTGGGAGTGATAATAAACACACACAAAAAAAGTGTTACGCTTATAATAATTAGAAAAATGATTTGGTTTGTATTAATTTTAGTCAATATTACTAATGTAATGTAATTGATATAATACTAATGTAAAGTATTAATCTAAAGTTTTGATTTGTTGATAACAAAGTATTTAGTTTATCTACATTGATATATATATATATATATATATATATATTATATATATATATATATATATATATATATATACATATATATATATATATATATATGTATATATATATTGATATATATATTGATATATATAATGATAAATATATATATATATATATATATATATATATATATATATATAAATATATATATATATATATATATATATATATATATATATATATATATATATATATATATATATATGTATATATATATATTGATATATATATTGATATATATAATGATACATATATATATATATATATATATATATATATATATATATATATATATATATATATATATATATATATATATATATATATATATATATACATATATATATATATATATATATATATATATATATATATATATATATATATATATATATATATATATATATATATATATATGTATCAATATATATATCAATATGTATATCAGGCCTTGCGATGAATAAGAACTGTGCGACGCATAAGCACGATGTGATTTTTGACGTCATTAAATTCTTTTTATTTGCTTTTCATATTTATCGACATTAACTGGGCCAATTTACTTAATTACCGCAAAACTACTTTAAATCGTTTATGTAGAAATGTTATTATTTAAAAATGTTTTGGAATGTTTCGTTTTTTAAAATGTAAAAACATTTGTTTATTTTCTCGACGTTTGTCACGTTTTGAATGAATTTTATTTCTAGTAAAATAAAATAAAATGTTAGATTAAAAATCTTATAGGTATAAAAGAAATATATCAGCGAAAAAATTATTCTTAAAAATTATTATTAAAAATTATTCGAAAAATATTGACGTTTTATTTTTCAGCAGCTGTTCTTGAGCACGCTTCGTTGAGTTTCGGTAACTTTTAACATAAAAGCGATCGTTATTAAGTAATTTTTTTTGAGTTACTTTTTACAAAAATTTTAATAACTGTACTTTTTTATTGAATCAAGTAGAATACGTTTTAATATTAGTCCTTTTTTTTTTTTTTATTTGCGCTCACCAATTTTTAAAATGTTTCCTCGAAATTACTCTTAAATACTTTAAATACGTCTAACAGTAAATAAATATTTTTAAATCTATGGAATAATTTTAAAACCTAACAAACCCCCGTAAAATAATTATTTAAGTTTAAAATCTAAAACTAAAAGAAAGTATTTTTGTTCAATTTTATCGACAACTTTGCTATTGCTGAATAATTTTATTAAAATGTTAGCTTAAAAGATTTAAACTTTTTTTTTTAATCTGAATTTTTTCTTCTTGTAAATAATGAGTATATTTAATTTTTTTTAATTCAAACTTTTATTTCAACTGCGTGCGGTTTTTAAAGTACTTTATTAAATGTTAAAATAATCGTGAATTACTTCATTAAAATTCCGCTCAAAAATATCTTTAAATATACTCAAACAAAAAATTTTTTGCTCGACGCAAATAGCCCTAGCTACACGCAAAATCGCTCTTGGACGACGTAAAATTCACATCGCCCGACGCTTTATCGCAAGGCCTGGTATAAATATATATATATTTATATATATATATATATATATATATATATATATATATATATAAATATATATATATATATATACATATATATATATATATATAATATATATATATATATATATATATATATATATATATATATATATATATATATATGTATATATATATATATATATTTATATATGTATATATATTTATATGTAAATGTATATGTATATATATATATATATATATATATATATATATATATATATATATATATATATATATATATATATGTATATATATATATATTTATATATGTATATATATTTATATGTAAATGTATATGTATATATATATATATATATATATATATATATATATATATATATATATACATATATATATATATATATTTATATATATATATATATATATATTAAATTTAAAGTTAAAGGTGTGACAATCATAACTTTTTGTTATCTAATTTCTTTTGAATTAATCTTCAATGGTTAAAAATATAGTTTCAAGTTTTTAATAAACAAAAACATATTTACTAAAATTTAAGCTTGTTTTTTACCATGATTTTTAGAAAGCAACTAAACAATAATAAGTGTAATTAACTCTGTCCGCTTTTAATGTCACTCGTTCACATATCGTAATCTTAAGCATTGTTTCTTGCTTTTATTACACCCTTATTTCTTGCTTTCATTATACCCTTGTTTCTTGCTTTTATTACCCCCTTATTTCTTTCTTTCATTACCCCCTTATTTCTTTCTTTCATTACACCCTTGTTTCTTGGTTTTATTACACCCTTTCTTACACCTTACCCTTTCTTACACCTTTTATTACACCCTTTTCTTGCTTTCATTACACCCTTATTTCTTTCTTTCATTACACCATTATTTCTTGCTTTTATTGCACCCTTATTTCTTGCTTTCATTACACCCTTTTTTCTTGCTTGTTAAGTAGTTCTATAGTAATTAGATAAAGCAGCATTTTAATTTGTAAGTAATTTAATTATGAAGTAAACATTGGTAAGCTCATTGCAAAGTTCAGGTTTTTTTTTCTATATTATCTAGATTTATTTATGTTTTTTAGGTAAAAATGAGTGCAAAGAGACGTTCAAGAAATTTAAAAGGGTCTCAAACTAGTTTGAACCATGAAATGTCATTTCGTACTGGTAGTCCTGCTGGTTTCCAAACTCCATCTTCTGTACCTAAAAAAACTGGTTGGTTAGATGACAATTATGAAATGCAATATGATACAGCAAATCAAGCTCCTACTGGAATGGAAGCAGAACCTTTTAGCATGCAGACAGTTGTTACAGCAGATCATAGAATTGACGATAAAGAAAAACCTGTTGGATGTTGGAAAAGATTTTCGAGAGGTGTCAGAGGTAATTCAATAATTTTATAACATTATTTATTAAAAAATAAGTTTATAAATACGTTTAATCATTCTTCAATAGAATTTATAAAACTTGAAAAAATTACTCATGTTAAGATATTTCATTTGATTTGACAACTTTTTTAAACATATTTTTCAATTACTTAGCAAGTACTTTTGAGTAATATTTTTTCTAATAATTTAAATATCTATTGTGCCCTAAAATAATAAACAAAAAGTTAACTCGCAGAAAAATTGTGTATATCCAACTTTCTATTTTTCCCTTCATAACTAGTTTGTAAAATAAAATTTGATTGCTAGGCTTTAAGAGGCATGGAACAAAGTTTGCTAGCTTTCTCAAAACAATGCAAGCAAAGATTATAAAAACAAAAATATAACTTAATCATTTGCAAATTATTTTATCTTGCAGATTATAATCCAATTTCATCTTTCATTTTTGAACAGCCTCTGTATTGTTGGTATCCACATTGTGCATATTCAAGATAAAAAATGCCAACCAACTCTTCTGAGAAGAAGCTTTTTCTTATTGTGTAAAATAGATGTAAGATTATATTGCTTAATGCAAGATTGTAATGCTTAATGCTAAAATTCATTATTCTCAGATTACTAAATTTTGTATATTATCTCAGAAGATAGGCTTTTTTCCAACTTTCAGAAAATTTTTCAAAAATCTATAATGGTGTCATTAACAAAGACAAAGTCAATTATATTCCATCTCACATACATGTTTATTATTATCTCTCTCCCAAGGACTTTTTACCAATAATTTATAATGTCAGGTTGAAAAATGTCAGGTTAAAAACAATGTTGTTGACAAAACAACCAAAAGAACTTTAGTGAAGACTATATATTGCAAACCACAACTAACTTATTGCATCAGATCAAGAAAATTAAATAGAAACAAACAAGATAGAATTGTTTTAAAACTGCCTATATTTATTTTAGTATGCAATTATGTTAAAATTTTGTTTAATTTTTTTGTTTTTTAAAGAATGTCATTTTGACCATAAAGGACACATTAAATTAGAGAGATGTTATTAAATTATTTATTTCCTATTTATATGATAATTTATTTAATATTTATCAATTTATTGTTCGTTAAAAAAATTTTAAGGATTATGGAAAACACGCTTCACAGATGATATTGAAGATCCAGAAGTTATTGTCAAAACCACTCTGAGAGAACTTGCAATTTATCTTGTGTTTATTGTGATACTTTGCATTAGTAAGTTAATGATAATATTTTATTAGCAAAAGAAAATATTATAATTAAAAAATTTTTTCTAAGCAGTTTTAAATTTTGATGTCAAATGCATTTATACCACTTAACATAAAATCAGAATATTGTAGTTAAATGTTTCACAACTATTCTTACCTTATGATCCACTACTATATTACTACCTTTAAATCTTATGCTTCAGGATTATATTTCTACCTTTAAATCTTATGTTTCATGACTATATTACTACCCTCACATTTTTTGTTACACTACTTTTATTGTAGAAAAAAATATTTCTATAAAATTTGTTGTTGAGTTTTTTAAAAATAAAAGTTACGAAAATATTAAGTTTTTAAACTTTGTATTAAAAAAAAGTTTTGTTTGTATTAGTGACGTTTGGAATGACGAATTCAACTCAGTTTTATTTTACCCAAGTGATGAGTGGTGAGTTTTTATTTTTAAAAGTGTTCATCATTGTTAGCATTACATTATTTTTCTTCTTTATATTAGAAAAAAAAATAAAGCTAAAAAAAAAAAATTATAATAACCAATAATATAATAATAACCAATGTTGCACAAGTTAAAATAAATTTTTTGCGGAGTCCCAAAAGGATTTTTTCATGGTCTCTGGTCTCTATTATATATATATAATTTATATATATATATATATAAATTATATATATATATATATATATATATATATATATATATATATATAAATTATATATATATATATATATATATATTTATATATATATATATATATATATATATATGTATATATATATATATATACATATATATATATATATATATGTATATATATGTATATAAATTATATATATATATATATATATATATATATACATATGTATATGTATATATATATATATATATATATGTGTATATATATATATATATATATATATATATATATATACATATATATATATATATATGTATATATATATATATATATATATATATATATATATATATATATATATATATATATATATATATATATATATATATATATATTAGGGTGGTCCAATAATATAAAGTTTAAAAATGCAATCCTCTATTCTTATTCTATATGCTATTGCTTATTTAATTCCAAAATTTGAATAAAATTAAGTAATATTTAGAGGTAGCAACTTTATAAGACTTTTTGAATTCAATATCGAAAATTCACGAAGTTTTACTTATTGACTTCTGATTAAATGTAAATTGTTGTTCTATTATACTTTAATGTTTCTTAAGACTAAACGAACTTTAAAAACAAGCTTTAGCTTGATAATATAATCATTAAACAATATTAAACAATAGTTTCTTATAAGTCTAGAAGTGTTCTTAGTGAAACATAAGAGCCGCTTTCGTTGGAACAGGAAACTCTTTCCGATAGCTGGATACAAGTTGCAACAGATACTATTTCTGAGTTTTATCCTTTGTCAAGGAAAAATTAAAAGATTGAATGAGTGCAACCCCTCTTTCTGCACAATTGTTTGCAGCCTTTAGAACTTTTAAATTAGCCAGCATTGATTGGAAGGTTGTGTCAGAAGCCCAGTTGGTCGGATGCTTTGACAAGAAAGTTCTTGCTTCTTCCTTTCCATTTATTGCTAGAATATTGAAGATATTCGAAGAACGACTAGTGATGTATGTCTGCGATGGTGCATGATAGTTGAAATCTTTGAAGTCCAGACGTTTGCGTGCATTTGCATTTGGCGGCAGGAAAAAAGTTGACAACCATAGAAGCTTTAGTATCGTTATCAACGCGTTCATCAAAGAGAGCTAGAGCAACAAGTGTCTCTGAAACGTCAAGTTAATAAACAAATGTTTTTACACTTTAAAAAACGAAACATTCCAAAACATTTTAAAATAATAACATTTCTACATTAATGATTTAAAGTAGTTTTGCGGTAATTAAGTAAATTGGTGCAGTTAATGTCGATAAATATGAAAAGCAAATAAAAAGAATTTAATGACATCAAAAATCACGTCGTGCTTATGTGTTGCGCAGTTTTTATTCATCACAAGGCCTGTATATATAAATATATATATATATATATATATATATATATATATATATATATATATATATATATATATATATATATATATATATATATATATATATATATATATATATATATACACACATATATATATAATTTTTTTTACTTGTTTTATTATTACTTTGTTATAAAAAAAACTTTAAATTTAGTTATAAAATAAAACAGCGTTAACACTGTAAAACACTGTAAAGAAGTATTTAGTTAAGTAATTACCAGAGTATTTGGAAGAAAAAATATGAGGTTAAAACAAATGGGACTTAATGTTTTAATTGCTGCTTACAAAAACAATAGTTTTAAGCACTTTGCATTTCTTATTGTTTAATGATGCGTGTTGAAAACTTTATTTTTATCGAATTTTATTATTATCGAATTAATTAATTGTCAATGTTATGCTATTCAAACGTTATTCAAAAAACTATGCGGTTGCTACAAAAAGATTTTTGTTCGTCTGGTAGCGAACAATTTAATGTGATTCTTTGTTTTTATATTTATATTATGAATATTTCTTGTATATTTTAGTACAAATATTTGTTTTAACTTTAATTTAGTTTGATTTGAACGGTAATTAGTAAAATAAGTTGTTTTATATTTATTTTCTACTTAGTTCAGTTTATATGTTTTATTCAAGTCACTCGTTTTTTTTCAGTTTATACTTTAAATTAATTTATACGCTTTTGTAAAATTAATTTTTTAGTATCTAGTTTATATTTAGTTTATACCAGTACATTTTACTGTTTAAACCATTTTAGTTTAAACCAGTACATTTTACTGTAAATATTCGTCATTTAATAAATTTTTATTTTTATAAATTTTATAAATTTAATCTTTAATTGCATCATAAACTTTTTTTGGGATTTAGTAAAAAGTTATACAATTAACATGATTAGGTGATTTTGACAAAAAAAAAAATAATACGACATCAAAAAAAAATTTCTACGATGACGTCATGTACCGAAACTGTTATGAATTAAAAACGCATGGAATAAATTATCAAGTCTGTAGATTGCGGCTAACATACAGACTCCGAGAACCAAAAAAAAATGGAGATGGCAAGCTTCGACTAAAACGTGAATTTTAAATTTAATGGTGTGCATTCATTATAAAGTTTTAATCAAAAAAAAATAAGCCCAAATGTTTTTTTTAAACATTTTCTTTAATATGAACACAATTTGTTTTGGCAGTTAGGGATCCCTTTAAATAAACAGAACAGAAAATTAAATTAGTTGAAAATCATTTATCAATTTTTTTTCATTTTACAATGGGTTTCATCTATAAAGTCTCATCAGAAAAATATTTCTGATAAGTCTTTATAGATAAAACACTGTAAAATGAAAAAGATTTTATAAGTGGTTTGTATATAAATTTATATTTAACGGGTGATAACTAAGTTTTAATATGGTTAGAAATTTTATTTTAGATCTATCAAATACATTATAATATTGTCAATTAAGTCTATTATAAAAAAATAATAATGAAAAAAGAGTCCAGATTTCCATATTTTATCAAGCTTTTTTCTGACTGCTGGCATGATGTTGTACATATTTAAAGTCTATATTACCAAGCCATCTTTTTTTCTAACTCAACAAGATTTTTGGCTGTCTAGTTGTTCTTGTAAACCTCCATGTCAAGTTTCCCCAAAAATCTTCTATTGGACAAGCTTCTGGCAAATTTGCTGGAATTTTGGGACAAAAGGTATATTCTGGTCTTCAAAAAATTTAGTTACCTAGGAAGCATAATGAGCAGACACCAGGTCAGGCCAAAACACATAACCACCAGCACTATAATTTTTTTTTAATAAACAAAGCTTGTTCTTTAGAATTTCCAATAAACACCTTGGTTAATCGCATTTCCAGATTTTTGAAAAAAAGATTTTATCAATTCTTTTGGTGATATAGCGAGCCATACAAACAGCTTTTGTAGATATTTTATTTTGAAACTGTATTTAACATTATCCAGTGTCTTATTCAAGTTGTCAATGTAGAAAGGGTCATTGCCTGTCTGATTAGCATGGCTCAATGTAAAGTATAATTCATTATAAATTAAAAAATCGCAATTTGTGTGTATCTTGGTCGAACTAGCTTTTTTTGTTGTTCAGTTTAAAGAAGTTTTTTAATTTTTATTTTTTTTTATTTTTAATGTTAGTCTGAATTTTCACAACTTGCTAATTTACAGTTGAGAACATCTAAATTTCTAGCAATTGCTTTTTGAGAACGTTCTGATCTATTATTGAACATATTTTTTAGTTTTCTAATGTTACTTTTTTTTTCTATTTTTACTAGACGACCATTGGCAATTTTTCTTTTCAATGTACCAGTTTCTTTTACTTGCTTGGTACAACGATATATACTACATTTTGAGGCTAAAGGTTCAATAAAACGCTTTGTAATTTCATTTGATTTTATTTCAAAATTCTAAACATTGAGTTTGTACAATTTATTTTTTATACTATCGTACTTTGCCATTCCCTGTAATTTGAAAAAAAAGGAAAGCTTTTTTCTGAATAATTTACAATGTATATAGAGTGTGTAATAATAAAATTATATCCACTTTTGTATGTGTGCCAAAACTTAGTTATCACCTGTTATGTATGTATGCATGCATGTATGTATGTCTATATATGTGTGTGTGTATATATATATATATATATATATATATATATATATATATATATATATATATATATATATATATATATATATACAGTTATGGCCATTGAAATCCGATCACCAGTATCATGTTACTTAAAACTAGTTTAATGTAGTAATAAACAATTGTATTATAGCAATAAAAGAATAATAGTAGCAATTAATGATTATAATGTAACATATTGTACATATTTAATGTTTATATTAATATTTTTTACTCTCAGGTTCATTGAATTTAATATTTAGTGGCACCACCATGTGCTTTTAAGACTGCATTAATGCGATCTGGCATTGAATCCACGAGAGCCTGACATTATTCTGGCATTATTTCAGTAATCCAAGCTTGACGAATTTTGTGCGCTAGATTGTCCAGTAATGTAGGATTAGTTCTGGATACTGCTGACTTTAACTTGACCCAGCAATTTTCAATTGAGTTCAAGTCTGAGGATGATCCCGGCCAAGGACCCAGAACCTGAATGTTGTGATCCTCTAACCAAGATTTTACAAGACGAGATTGGTGACACAGTGCACCATCATGCTGGAATATCTCGCAAGGACGAATTTCCATCAAATTTGGAACCTTTTCTTGAAGGATTTTTAGATATTGTTGGGAGTTAACAGTCTGTCCCTTCTGCATTTAATAAATACCACATCGACCAGATGAAGCTATCGCGCCCCACACCATGATTGAAGGACATTGCTTGACAGCTGGTATGGTATACCTTGCATTAAAACGCTGATTAGGGGGGCGACAAATTAATGACTTATGCGGAGCAAATTGCTTTATTTGTGTCTCCTTGCTGAACATTACCTGGTGCCATTTTGTTATTGACCAGTGTCTGTGAGCTTTACAAAATGCGATCCTATCACGGATGTTCTTTAAAGACAGTTGCGGTTTGAGGGCTGGACGACGAGAAAGTAGACCTGCATCTTTCAATAAACGTCTTCTAATTGTTCGAGTGCTGACTGTAACGTCATTAGGTAGATCTGCCTTGATTTGTGTGCTGGATATTGTTGGATCTCTCACAGCAGTCCTGCGATCATATTGTCTGTTTGTTTGCTAGTAATTCTAGCTTTACCAAACCGTTTTCTGGGCGCAGTGGATCCCGTGTCTTTGATTAGTTGTATAATATCATGAACAGTAGATTTTGGCATTCGCAATCTTGCTGATATCTGACGCTCACTTGCACCATCCTCCCATAAAAGTTTAATGTTAGCACGAACACCTTGCTTCGTAGTCATAATTAAATTGTGACAGTTAAATGATAATCCATACCCTACAATGACATATATAGCTTAATAAATTTTACAGTGCAATAAAATAAACGCTAATGTGATTGGCTAAAAACTAATTAACTAATCATTGATGTCAGGGAAGAAAATAAATTGATTATTCGCGTGCATAGACTGTTTTTCTTTATATTCAGCAGTGGTCGGATTTCAATGGCCATAACTGTATATATATATATATATATATATATATATATATATATATATATATATATATATATATATATATATATATATATATATATATATATACATATATACATATATTGTGTATATATATATATATATATATATGTATATATATATATATTGTATATATACATATATGTATATATTTATATATATATGTGTGTATATATATATATATATATATATATGTATATATATATACATATATATATGCAGATATATATATGTATATATATATATATATATTTATATATATATATATATATATATATATATATATATATATACATATATATATATATATATATATATATATATATATATATATATATATATGTATATATATATATAAATATATATATATATATATATATATATATATATATATATATATATATATATATATATATATATATATATATGTATATATATATATATATATATATATATATATATATATATATATATATATATATATATATATATATATATATATGTATATATTCTTTGTCATTTGTATTTTCTAACTTAAAAAAGAGACTCAATACTCTAAAATCTGTTGATTAGTTTCATGCAAATTTTCTGAATAAATGTATAATGCAGATAAATATTATAAAGTGTGTTGCAGAAATATAATTCTTGATTATAATTGTTTTTTTGAATATAAACTTTATTTCACATGGTTTTGATTTTGTTTAGACAGCTACATATTATTTATATATGCAAAAAGTTTTAGTTTAATTCATGCGTACAGTATTATTATTATTATTATTATTAAATACTATTATCTTCCTGAGGCTAATACTTATTATTTATACTTATTTCTTATTTTTAAAATTTAATTTTAAAATTTCACAAAATAAAATGTCATGAATATTCCTCAATATTTTATTAGGTCTTTTTGCCGGTGATGGTAATACCTCACCAGCATTTGCTGCTATTTCATCACTAAAAGGTTTTTTTGATGTAAGTAATACTACTTTGACTTGAATGGTTTAAAATATTAAAATGCTATATTTGTACAAATTTTGTATTATTTTTTTATATATATAAGATTTTTTGAAAAAAAATTTTGTAAAGATTATTTTATAGTATGATTCTAATATATATTATGAAATAAATTACATAATGCATTTTTACTTTTTGGCTGTTTAGTATGCTGAACAAACACTTGTTCAAGGTCTTTATGTTGAGAAATACTATAATGATGAGCCAGTTTTAGATTCAGAGAAAGGCTATGTTCTGTTTGAAAACAAAATATTAGGTATCCCAAGATTGCGCCAAGTACGAGTTAGAAATGATTCTTGTGTGTAAGTATGCTTGGAAAACTTTATATTTATAATTTTTTAATCATAAATATATTATATTTATAATTTTTAATTTTCATCTACATTTGTAGCTGTTAAATTTTTTTTTTTTTTTAAAAACACATAAACACAATTATTGTAGCATAATATAAGAAACTGTATATTTTCAAAATTTTTACAATAAATAAATTCAAAAAAATTTAATGACAAAAAATAACAACAAAATGTCTTATTTTATTGGTTTGTTGGTTTTATTCTGCATTAGTTATCCTGAAAATGATTATATGTCAGTCAGTTATATATTCTGAAAATAAATTTTCACTGGTATTTACAAATAATAGTAATAAATGATAATCATAAATTAACACCTTAAAAATAGTTTTTATATATATATATATAATTAATGATATTATTAGTTATATTATAATACGATTTTTATATAATAGAATATTTAAAGATTATAGTCAAATTAAATTAAGTTATTTCACAGAAAAAATGTAATTACACCACCAACAATAACATCAATATAAACAATAGAAAATAGCAATTATATAAAAAATAAGTACAATAGAACATAAAAACTAAAAAAATGTTTATTTTCAATAAATTCAATTGAAAAAAACATGACATCAGAAAACATAATTAAAAACATATTTATAACAATTATAAAAAAAAAAACATATTTATAAAAAAACTTTTTCCACTATTTATTTTTTTATTTGAACTTTAATAAAATTTATGTGAAAAAGTTTTTTTCTTAATTTAAATTATTTTTCTTTTTAAATTACTTTTAACTCTTTTCCTTAAATTTCTTTTTTTATTTGTTGTTACTGTTTTGTCTTGTTCTTTGATTTTTTTATGAATTTTGTTTTTTTTAATTTTTTTCTCTTTTTCTTTTCTTTACTTTCTTTAGCTTTCTTTTTTTATCTATTGTTTTTTTAATTTTCTTTTTTAGAACATTAAAAACTTTTTTTTTCTATTTCTATAAAATCTTCTACTATAAAACATGCCTGCTGATTCAGAAGCCACTCCAAAACTATCTTTAAATAAATTAAACTCTATACATTACTGTGGATGTTTTGTTTAGCATTTCTACATTTTACATCACTAGAACAACTAGCCCAAATATGTCAACAGTATTCCATTCAGCCATGAATAAGATTTATTTACATACAGGGATAAATAAAAGATTTAAAAGTTTGAGAATAGAATTAGAAATTTGAAAATGGCTAGCACAATAAATAGAGGCAATCTCAACAGGTGCTAACTTTGCAATGATTTTTATATGGTTTTTATGAGAGGTCAGTAGTAAAAAAAGATGTAGAGTAGAAGATTCAGTAAAAATGATGCTAAATGATGTAATATCAATAACATTGTGATAGCTATTAGCAGTAAATTACTGAGATTTGTTTGGGTTAAAATTTACCAACCACTGTGAGTCCAATATCACAGAAAAGATCACACTCATGATTATGACTCATCCTACTTCTTTTAATTGATGACTTTTTGGTCAGAGTTAATGTTTGTGTTATCGGCAAATAAAGCCAGCAAATCAGCAAATAGTTATTGCCTTACTTCGCAAACTCACAGGTAGTAGCATTTAACATTCATATCTAAATAATAAAGAACTAAATTTAAAATTAGTTTAAATTTAAATTAGTAAAATTTAAAGAGCAAGTAGGTCTGGTGAATTTTGCAGAATTCAGTGAATGAAAAGTTATTTTGAAGACCAGAAATATTTTTAAAAAATAGTTTGAAACAATTTAATAATAACGCTGTTTTTTTAAGTTTAATATTTTAAGGTTTCATAGCCATTTTTTAAATTATTACTTGTTGCAGCTTATTTTATATTTCGAGTATAGCTTGTCAAAACATGCTAAAGCATGCTAACAAATATAAAAGAATTTTCTTAAAACTTAGAAATCCTGCTTGGATAAATTACTGCAATCTACAATTCATTTGTTTTTCTTTATGAAATTATTATATGTTAAAATATGTTATAATATTTTTATTTCAATTATATTAATTTTTTTTTTTTTTTTTTTAAATAATTTTTATGAAATAGTCTAAATATTTATAGTAAAAAAGTATAAAAATTATTTTAAAATGTGTTTAAACTACAAAAAAAAATCTAAAATTTTATTTTAGGACTCTTTTACTATAATTGATTTTGAATTCAAGCACACCCTATCCTTGTTTATAATTTTCATTACATACATATTTGTCTTGAGTAATATGGGTTATACATTTATTTTTAAAAAAAGTTTTTTTGCCATGACATTTAACTTCATATTTAGTTTGGTTTAGTATAGTAGAATCTTCAGTTATAATATTATATAAAAATTGTTTTTAGTGTGGCTGATGACTTTAAAAAAGAAATAAAAGAGTGCTTTGCACCATATTCAGCTACAGCTGAGTTTACAGGTTCATATGGACCAGGGGATTCGCAAGCGTAAGTTATTTTTACTTTGTATATTTTTATTTAAAATGTTGTTGGTAAAGTTGTTACTCTAACAATGTGTAATCAAATTAAATTCATGTGCAAAATTTATTTAAGAGTTTTTACTTTTTTTTTAGTTTTAACTTAATAATAAATATAAATATATTTTTTTCATTGTCCAAATCAAGTAATATCCTGTCCAGTCCGCCAGAGTAGTGTTTTGTGTCAAATGTTCTTACAAAATGTTAATGGTTTAATTTCTATAAAATCTTGATTTTTTTTTTTTTTTTTTTTTTTTTTTTTTTGCTATATGCTTGCAATAACAAGGTTTATAGTTTATCTAGGAATACAGATCTAATCCACAATATTAGTGTTGCCATTGAAAAAGTTTTTCTCTGGTAGTTAAAAGTTACCACCAGCAAATAACAAACTGTTAACTAGCTGATTAATCCTTTAGCATTTCATAGTTATGACCCATGTGTTCTTGTTAGAGTCTTCACTACCTACATAAGACCAATTTTATAATATTGTTTTCCAATCTGCTACACTGAATTGATAAATTGATAAAGCTGAAAAGTGCAAAAATGTTAACCAAGAAAATACCCAGCATAAATAATTTCTTAGATTTTAACAAACTTAAAATACCTGATTTGGAACTACTTAAAATTCGTCCTATGAAGCAAGGCTGATAACAAACTTTTAAACAATTTGTTTATTATATCAAATTTCTTTTAAATTATTAACTTTAAATACTTAAGGTTATAAATTTAAGTTACGCAAATTAAAGTTTCAATTTATTTTTTATAAATATTGTTTTCAAAGTTGTTAAAATAAAATTGTAATGTTTTATTTGAATTGTAATGTTATAGTTGTAGTCTAATGTTATTAACAGCAAAAATGTTACAAGCTTCAAAATAAGTCTCCTGCACAGTATTTTATATACTATATTAATGTAGGATGCGTTGTCAGAGTCCTACATATAATCCTCAATATTAATTCGTTTTTACATTATGATATTTCTTAATATTTTTTATTTAAATAAAATTTTAGTAAAAATGACCAACCTAAAATTGATCATAATATGCCAACTTACCTAACTTATTTTTATTGATGTCAAAGATAAATACATCACATCAGATCAGTTTATTTTAAAAAGAAATATTAACAAGCAAAAAACTATATAGCCTTACAAATGATAATGTTTCCGTTATACAATATTTACAATTATAATATTTAAATATTATACAATATTTACAAACATTAAATTGACAAATTTTTTTAAAATTTGTTTAGAAAATTCTGTTTTGGAAAATCCAATTAACTTTAAACTTCTTTTGTAACATCTAAGACACAACTTGTCTTGGCACTTAGCTTTTGTTTTTTGCACTTATTTTTTGTTTTTGTTTGGATTATACAGAAAAAGTTTGCAAAGAATATAGAAAGTCTCCCTTGCCGTCGGTACTGATTAGGATATTAGAAAATTGAAAAATTTTAGATTCTATAAAACAGGTTTAAAATTTTTGCTAGCTTTTTAAATAAGTTTTAGGTATGCAAAAATTAAATTAAAAATAAATAACTGATTTTGTTAACTTCTTGCATAACATTAATTATTCTTTTTTTTTCTAATTAATATTTTTTTATTTGAATATAAGTAAAAAACCTGATGAGATCATGAAAGCCTTTTTAAATTAAAATATTTGATAGTAAATAGCAACAACAACAAAATTTTTTTTGTATAAATTATGTTCAAAAGCCCTGAAGAACAATATACAACAATTTTGCTCTTAAGGGGGCATAAAAATTATCTAATTGACTTGAAATTTTCTTACAGTTTTTAAAGTTTTCTCAAAATGACTTTAGTTTATATATACAGCGTGAAAAATAAGAAATTGAAGGTGAGCGGTCATTTTGACTAACACATAGAGTTGACGGTCAGTTGTTTTTTTTGGATAGTCAAAAATATTATTTTTTTATTTGTTTAAATTTTCTTCTTAGTATTAGTTCTTTATTAGTTCTTAAAACTGAGTTTTATATAAAAAAAAAATAATGAATAATTTTAAATAAAATCTTTGCATTTTTAAATAAAAATGCAAATAACTAACATTCAAGTTGCCAGCTAACTATGATATACTATATATACTCAAGCTTGGCCAGGAATGCTTGTGGTTAGAAGTCTTTATATGACCATGCAAATAATATTTTTGTTTTGATTTAACCACGGTTTTTAACAATTTAAAGTGAAAAATTCATTCAAAAAATCAGATGAATAATAAATAAAACACAAGTAATATTTAAACATGTCATTAAAATTTTTGCACTATTCAGTTAAACATCAACTTAGACATCATCCATATTTAAAATTGTTGCATCATGCGTCAGAATATATTGAGCAGCACACAGAATCACCTCCTAATATTTCATTAAAATCATTGTAATATTCAGTTAAATACTAATTTGGGCATCTTTTATATTTAAAATTGTTGCGTCATGCGTCAAAATATATTGAGCAGCACACAGAATCACCGCCTAATATGTTATTTTATCACATTACCAATTCTTTCCAATTTGTTGTTCCACAATCCCTGCACCAAATACAGATGAAATGCAAATCACATGTTAGTTTTAATTTTAGATCAGATTGTTTCCATTGGATTTAAAATTGGACTGTAGGATCCTAAATGTTACAACTGAGCTGGAGAATTTTTAAACACCCTTTCCAAACGAGTGTGATACAAGCATTGTCTGTTATGATAGCTAAATCCTCTAAAAAATTCCTGGATGTAAGCTGCTGATAAAACATAACCAACCTTTACTTGTTCCAAGAATCTGCATTAAATGATCCTCTACGAGTTTCCATCATGGCAACATTTGTTGTTAATATAGCTGCAATCAAATGTATGTTTGCACCTTTTGAAGCATTTTTTATTATTGCTCTTCTTTTTTAATTGGCACGTCTTTGCATTTTTCTTCAAAAAAGGTTAAAGTTTGTTTCATCCAACCAAACTTTCTGATGACCATTTGTGATTTGTTCATTGATGTTTCTAACATGTTCAGCTCTTTTTTGTTTGTTTTCATTACTGTTTCTTGAAGAAAGTACCTTATGCACTTTTTTTAATAAAAACAATCTGCCTTTGAGGTAATTAGTGGTTGTTGTGCTGACGCTAATATTAAATTGTCTTAAAATTTTTGTTTTGGTAAATTATTATTATATTTTTGTATTGATCCTCAATTAATTTTTTTGGTTTAAAACCACCTCTTCCAATAAAATTACCATTTCTACTGCGAACTCAATTGAAAGCTAACTTATATTTGACCCCTAAATTTTGTGCCAGAGTCATCTAATTCGTCATTTTGCTCAACACATTCAGCATTTCTTCTGTCATTTGGTGAAGATAAAACATAAAGATTTCTTTTCAACTTGTTTGGTTGTATGTATTTCATGCTGACAAATCGGACAAGTTAGTTCTGGTTGTTCCAGAAGCAGATCTAAGCTAATTTGGTGAAATAAATGCTGAAATGGATTCAATTTACAAGCTTGGCTAGGAAAGCGTGCGATTTCAAGTCTTTATATGACCATGCAAATAATATTTTGTTTTGATGATTTAACCACGGTTTTTAATAAATGTGCTAAAAAAAATTTTAATTACGTTGAAAATAAATAACTTTGACAAGTTTATCTTTACTAACGTTTTTACATTAGCAAAACGCTAAATAATGTAGCTAATGATTTTAATTAAAGTATCATTGAAAAATGTATAATTTTTTATTTATATTATTTAATTATATAAGATTTTTTTATAAGTTAAAATAAAAAAAGTCAAAAAAATAAAAAAATTAAAGTTTTATAAGTGATGACTTTTAAGAGCAAAGGTCTCTTTAATAAACTTTAAATAAGAATCATTAAATTTTTGTTCAGAAGTAAAAAAAAAAGACAAACTTTTTTGGAAACCAAACGGTTTCCAAAAAAGTTTGTCTTTTTAATTAAATAACTTTGATAAAAATTAAATAACTTTGATCTTTACTTACGTTTTTATATTGAAACGCATTTAAAAAAAGTAACAAATCATTGCTAATGATTTTTTTCGAAAAACATTAATGAATAATAAATATTTTTTATATTTATAAAAGTATTTTTTTTATAAATAAATGTTTTTAAATTAAAAAAAAATTATATCAATTTTTTAAATAAATGATTTAATTATTTTTTCTTTAGTACAAAGAATTATTTATCTTTTTTTAAAATTTTAAATGTGCGCATTTATTAAACAATCATCAGTTTTAAGTTACTTTATTTAAAAAGCGTTTCACCTACATTATATCATAAAAGCATTAAAGATAAATTATTCAAAGTTATTTATTCCCAACGTAATTTAGATAATCTTATCGTTATAGTTTATTATTTATTTTAGTTAAGTTTAAATTTTATTTTTGCTATTTTAGTTTTAGTTAAGTTGTTTTAATTTTGTTTTTTGTTATTTTTTTACCAAAATTTATTTGCTTCTTTTACTATAAGTTTTTTTTTTTAGTTTCTTTATAGTTAATTTTTTTAATGCGTTTTTAAAATATACAAGTTTTCAAAACATATCAACAGCCATGGTCAAGTTAAATAAAATTAAATGGTATTTGCGTGGTCATATTATGATGTGAAATCGCATGCCTTCCTGGCCAAGCCTGAATTTAATAACAGACTTTTAGGTCATAGTGAATTGAAAAATAAAACAATGATCTTTCAATTCCATTATTATTGCTAGTGCATACAAATACTTGACTTGATATTATTAACTTATTCACATTCATGTTTCAGAAAAACTTTTATAATGACCTATAAGCTTACATTGTGACTCGCAATTACAAATTATGTATTCATATTTACATAACCTTGTTTTTCAAAACTTTTTTTTTCAACCAGTCAAACATGACTGGCAAGAATTTTTGGAGATCGTAATAGCAATTTTAGTCATTTCAGTCGGTTGACTGTTGACCGACCATTATTCCACGGTATATATATTTATATATATACATGTAAATATTTATATGTATACATGTGTATATATATACATATATACAATATATATATATATACAATATATATATATATATATATATATACATGTATATATACATGTATATACAATATATACAGGCTTGGTCGGGAAGCCGGAGCGATTGCTCTCGAATACTGACCATGGAAATTATATTTAGTTGCGTAAAACTGGCCAGGTTTTTTAGACTTTTACGAAACAAAAAATTTTTGTTTACGGACATATATGGAAACATAAAAAACTTGAATGTTCTCAAAACATCTTTGTGCGAAAGAATAAAAATAATATTTGCGAACACTAAAAACCCGCCAAATTAATAAACAAACTAATTCTATTGGTTCAAAAAATACGCTGATTAATTGAAATAAATTTCTAGAGTATTCTGTTAAAATGTTTTAGAAATTGTATTATTCACGATTTATTACGTTTTGAGATTTTTAGCATTGTTTTAAGAATATATATTATTTGTTTACGAAAATAAATGTTTTAAATATATATTAATTAAATTGTTAAAATTTTAAAAGTTTATTATAAATCATAGATTTTATTAGTATATTTTTATTTTTTATTTTAAAAGAGATTGTATTCTTAATGTAAATGTAATTTTGTGTATTTGTTTTTTATCGTAATGGATCTTTTAAAGCAATTTTTATGATTTAAACAAAGACTTACAAAAATAATTGCGTTTTTAATGAAGATATTATTGTTAAAGTTAATAAAACTAATTATGTAACAAATATATAAGAAGTTTCTGGTTAAGTTTGAGGTCACGACAGAACACGAATATATATAGCAAATAATTAGATATAAAGAAAAGTTTCTAGATATTGGTTTACTAACTCTAATTATTTTCGTTGCCATTCTTTAAACTCGTTATATTTTTTCTGCTTTAAATACTAATTGAAATTAAAAAGCCCATCAGCGATATTGTGAAGCAGTTTCGCTTCCTGGTCATTAAGTATTTTTAACCTTTTTAGTTGATTTCTATCTTGATAATTTAATTCTTATAGTAATTCAATGATTTAATTATTTCATTTGTTTATCTTACTAAGAAGAATCGCTTCAAATATGTTAAACTTTTTAAACTATGCGAAACATAAAATAGGTATTAAAAAAATTAACTTTTTTATTTATATAATAAATTAAGCTTAAGTAAAACTAAAACTTGCAAACTTAGTTAAATAAAAAATATTTGTTTCTCTTTTAAACAATCGTAAGATGTTACTTTATATAAAAAAAATTGCTTAATTTTATTATAAAATTATAAAAGAGCGATGTTTCAAAATTATTTGTTCTAAATGTAATTTATTTAGCTTTAAATTTTTTCGCGTTTAAAGATATTTTATTTGCCGATATTAAAGATATTTATTTATTTTTTTTTTTTTGTAATTGTCTCTCATTGGTCCAATTATTCTTCGTCGCTTTTTTTTTTTTGCTTTTTAAAATGTTCTCAAAACGATATAAAAATCTGGCCAGCTTTTCGCAACTAAATATTATTTACGTGGTCAGCAATCGAGAGCGATCGCTCCTGCTTCCCGACCAAGCCTGAATATATATATATACATGTATATACAATATATATATACATGTATATACAATATATATATATATATATATATGTATGTATATATATATATATATATATATATATATATATATATATATATATATATATATATATATATATATATAACATGTGATACCTAGAAACTCGGACAAAAGTTTGGTCGACATAAATTGTTTAAGGAGTGTTGCAAAATTGTTGCAACTTATGCTATGTTGTAGTAAATTTAATTCTGTACAAATTGCAGTATATCTTTTAGCAAACAATTATTTATAATGGCAAAGAAAATTATCTCAAAACAGGAAGACCTCAGAAAGCGCATGTACGCTTTAATTGATTTGCATCTGGATATGAAGAAAAGTGAGATTGTGAGACACTTCATGATCGAAGGCGCATCAAGGTCAACCCTGTATGATATTCTGCAGCGCAAGACACTCGAAATAGGCCCTGAAAGGCAGCGTGGAACTGTACAAGTGGCAATCAAGATGAACACAAAGCGAATCACCATGCTGAAAAAGTGAATCGATCATAGTGAAGAAGTTAGCTAGCCTGCGAGTATGGTGTCAGCCAAAAGTACATATCAAAAACAATTAGCACCAAGGCAACAATCAAATACAAAAAGAAGAAAAAAGTTCCAGATCGAACTCTGCAACAGAAGTCAGCCATTTGTGATCGAAGATCACAAACGGCTGAAAAAGAAGGTGATCATCTGCGGCGAGTCCTATTTTTTGTTGAGCAATAACAAGCTATCTGGAAACGCTGGTTTCTACACGTCTGACATCGAAATGACTCAAGAAGCTGTAAAACTCAAGCGCAAGTCCAAGTTCGAGCCAAAGGTACTTGTTTGGATTGCTATGTCCGAGGACGGCCTGTCGAAGCACCTGGTGACACCTTTGGGCCAACCAATCAATCAAGATGTCTACATCCAGAAGTGCTTGATGAAGCGCTTGATTCTGTTTATCGAAACAGTTCATAAGAATGACGAGATCATTTTCTGGCCTGACCTCGCTATGTCTCATTACGCAAAGAAGACGCAGGAGTTCCTCCAAGCGAATAACATAAAATTCGTGCCTAAGGAGCACAACCCTGCCAATGTGCCAGAACTCTGACCAATCGAAGACTTTTGGTCAGAACTCAAACGAGGAGTATATGATCGTGGCTGGAGAGTAAAAACCGTGGACCAGCTCACTGACAGGATCAACTACTGCATAAAACGTATCAGTCAAGATTGTACATCGACTTGGCAAGGCTTCTTTCAGCCAAGTAGACAAAGTTCGCAGACATGGCATGATAAACTTATAATTTTTTTAAATCTGAAGCTTCATATGCTTAACTTTAGTTATCTTTTTACAGAAATAAAATTGCACCTTTAGTCTCAAAGTTATAAGTTATTTAGTTTTGTCCGGATTTCTAGGTTTCGTATGTTATATATAAATATAGCTGTTAAGTTTAATTAAAAAATGTAGAAGCAACTTTAAAACTAACAGCCTTATTTGTCAAGGGTGTTTTAGCTTTAGAGTTTAGGGTGGTATGACAACAATTAAGATAATTAAAATAATTTAAAAAAATAAAAACTTCTTTAACTATATTGCCCTTCCCCCTTCCCACCAGACCTTGCATGGATAAATGTTGTTAAAAAAATAAATTGTAAGTGATTTAATTAAATGATTACTTCAGGTGGAATTTTAGTACAGAAAGTAGTCTGAATGGACGTTCATTTGCTGGACAAATTTCAACATATGGAGGAGGAGGATTTGTGCAACTGTTGGGTAATGATGCAAATGAATCTCTATACATACTTGAATATCTGAAGGTTAAGTTTAGTTTTTTTTTTAATAAAATAAATGTTTTAAAAATTAAGTTCATTCTCCAATCTTTTTAATTTCTATTTAAGTAAAAATTGTTTTTGCTTTTTATTAAACTGACATAAATTTTAAATTTAAAAATTTTAAAATTGTCAGCTCAAAATTTAAAATTTAATACTGTGAAATCAGTTCCATACTGTTTCTGATACATGTTGACTCTAAAAACCCCCCCAAAAAAATGTGTAGAGTTACAAAACTTTTAGCTGAGTAATTGATTCAGCCTGAGGGCTGTGCTCAATTTAATTTCTAGGGGCTTTGTATGCTCTCTCAAACAAAAGTATAACATCTCTAAGAGAGGACTTGAGAACATTTTACAAGCATGTCTGTCTGACTGCATTGACTGTTTTAAATGCATCAATAATAAACTTTTCTCCTTCAAGTTCATTTTTTTGCATTTTAAAACGACTCTTCTAGAAGGTAAATATTGTTTAAGATTGCCTATATCGATTTCCATTAAATGATTCTCTAAGCATTGACCTGTAGGTGGTAAGTTTGTTTAACCAGTCAGTAGCTTTAAAAGAACAATAGTTGTTTGACTAATGATTGTTACTAAATTATCAAATAACTTTCAATATGGATTTTAATTTCTTACTTTAATACTGATTTGTTAACTCTTATTGCAGAAAGATGTATTGTGCATGAAATGTGATAAGGCAAGGACTATTACTCATAATATATTTAAGGCTTTTGATAAAGTCTGTCATGGTAGTTTTCTTCATAAATTTTTTTCATGTTGTATTTCTAGGGTACCACCAAGGTTCCATCTTTAGTCTTGTGTTGTTTCTTATCTTTATTAATGATGATCGTACTTTTAAAGTGGCTTGAAAATTTCAGCACTCATCATGTCATCAGATATTCAATGTGATTGCTGTTTTTTGACTGGTGATTTAAACAAAACTCAATTGTCTACTGCGAATAGTTTTAACACTAAAGTTAATATTAAGTTTTATTAAATATTAGTCCTATATTGATGAACGACAATACTCAGTTCTCTACTTCATGTCTTACTTTATGTACAATTCATTGCTAAGATTGGTTCTTTGTCTTTTATTGTGCTTACCAGTATCTTACTTCTGGTTCCATACTCAATTCTAATCTCTTATTTGTCCTTAAAAGAGTTGTCTGCAGCGGCAAATTTTCAGATAAGTCTTTATTTACATGTGGAGTTCCACAAGGCTGTGTCTTGAGTCTATTTATATTTACTGTTTATATAAATGACTTACTGAATAAGTTATCAAGGAAGTGTAAAATGCATGCTGATGATATAAAACTAATTAGCATAATTAGCTCATCTTCTGATATAGAAAAGACTCAAACAGATCTAAACAAATTAATGATATGGTCAAAATTATGGCTATTAAAATTTAATGTTAACAAATGTAAATGCATGCATATAGGTAGCAAAAATACGAAACTGAAATATGAAACTAGACTAACCTTAATAGTCTCAAATACAAGAGATCATAGTATGAGGTTTCATAGACAATTAACAATAAATCTAAAGAGATACTATTTCTTAACAAACCATGTTATTAACAGCTGGAATAACTTAGATCATAACATCATAGATTCTAAAACACTTAAAGAGTTTAAGTGTTTTTTAATCTTTATTTAAATCAAAGTTGGACTTATTTTTAACATAAATCGCTTGTTAAAGCCTAGATTACCTAGTAACCTTTCATTGTACATGTACACAGTTATTATTAAATAAAAAAATAAAAAATAAAATATCAAATTAAATACATTTCAGCTCACAGTGATATAAACAGATAATGATAAAATGTGAAATAAACTTTAGAAGTAGTTTCATAGCCTTGGGAAGCTAAATTTGCTAAAAAATGTTGTTTTTTTATCTTCTTATATTATCATTATTTTGCAGTCTGATTTTTTTAAGTTTTGTATTTAACATAATTTTGAGTTTTCATATTTTGGAAAAATATAATTTGAAAAATATATATTTTTTGCTTGTTTTATTGCTTTTTTTTATTTGTTTTTATATTTTTACAATAAGGTTTATTGTTATTTATAATTTATTTTTTTTAATCCCTTGCAGAGTAATCTTTGGCTTGATCGAGGCACAAGAGCTGTTTTTATTGATTTTACAGTTTACAATGCTAATATCAACTTATTTTGCGTTGTTACGTGAGTTTTTTTTTAGCATAGTTTAGCATAGCATAGTTTTTTTAATTTACATAGATATGTATGATTTTTTTAATCATTTTATAAAATTTTGAGAAAATAAAGTTTCTTTTAAGAATCATTTTTGATAAACTAAGTATTTAAAGTTTATGTTTGTTTTTTTATATAGTTCATTTTTTCAAAATTGTGTAAAAAAATAAATAAAATTAATATTATTATTTAAAAGCATTAGCATTTATCTTATGAAATTATTTACATTAATAGATTACTATTTGAATACCCTGCAACTGGTGGTTGTATTCCCTTCCCAACATACAGAACACTAAAGTTATTGCGTTATGTAACAACAATGGATCATTTTGTGATGGCATGTGAAGGATTGTTTGTTGCATTCATTTTATATTACTTTGTTGAAGAAGTAATTGAAATTAAAAAGCATCGGGCTTCCTACTTTTCAGATATTTGGAACATTTTTGACTGCATTGTTATAATAATGGGAATGATTTGTATTGCTTTTAACATTTATCGTACTGTCGAAGTTGGCCGATTGCTACAAAATTTGTTGACTCAGCAACATCAGTATGCAAACTTTGAATCGTTAAGTTATTGGCAAACACAATTTAATGATTTTGTTGCAGTTGCAGTTTTTATATCATGGATAAAGGTTTTTTTGTATTTTTAGACTATATTGATTTAGATGAGTTTTCAAATGTTTTATAAAGTGAATAATACATATGTAATGAGTTGTTTTGTTGTTGATAATATTATGGATACAATGTTTTTATTATTATTATTATTATTTTTATTGTCATTATTATTTTTATCTTTTTCTGTTTTATTATTATTACTATAAATATTACTAAATGTTATTATTATGAGATGGCTTTGAGACATACCATATGGTGTAGTAATCATAATGGATAATTATTTTTATATTATTTTTGTAGATTTTCAAGTACATAAGTTTCAACAAAACCATGACACAGTTGCAATCAACTTTAGCTCGTTGTGCAAAAGATATTGCAGGATTTGCTGTCATGTTCTTCATCATCTTCTTGGCATATGCACAATGGGGCTATCTTATTTTTGGAACACAAGTTCAAGATTTCAGTACATATTTAAGTAGCATGTTAGTGATTTTTATTATTTTTACAATGATTTTAATAAGGGTGTACCAATTTTAGAAGATATATGCTTAAAATTTATTCAAAACGCACATATGTGATTTTATATAATGAAGACATATACGTATAAACCATTAAAACAGCGCGTATGTAAAACCATTACTGTTTAACATAAAAAAGTTTAGTTTGGTATGAAATGCTTTCATATAAAAATGCATTTTAATAATTTGTAATTTTTTATTTGCAGCTAGTAGTTAATTATTACTATATTTATCACTAATTATTATAATTACTTCACTAATAGTTCTATCAATTGCATAATTGTTCCATTAATTGCATGACTGCTAATGAATATCTTGTAAATAAAAGTTTTTATAATTTAAACATTGTTAATTAAAGGTTTAATCCTAACTAACATTAAAATGTGAGTAGTAAATATTATTATTGAGCTGTGTTATGCAATAAACAATAATCGTCTATCACTGACATACTCTTAAGTTTTAAAAAATGTTGTTTACTTAAAGATATAAAATATACATATATTCTGCTTGTATATAATTTTTAATTGTTTTTTGATAAGGGGTATATTGTTAGCACTTTACTTTGTATTATTCTTTAGAACATAAGTTGTTCTGATATATCTTATTGTTATTAATCTTATTTTTATTAATAATTTTAATAAATTTAAAAAAATATTATTAATCTTATTTGCGCGCAACAATCAAAATTGTGGCGCATCTAACAAGAATAATAACAGAAATGGTGCAATTTCTAAAAGTAGGCTGTCTATTAATCTCAATATTTCAATTTAAGTTGGTGAACCTATTGTTTTATTAATTTTTTTTTTTTTTTAATCTTAAAATATAAAAATTTTTATTCAAAAGAATTTTCTTCACAGTTTTACATTGTTTCGAATCATACTTGGAGACTTTGATTTTGGTGCAATGGAAAATGCCAGCCGTTACTTAGGTCCAATATTTTTCATTACGTATGTGTTCTTTGTGTTCTTTGTTTTGATCAACATGTTTTTGGCTATCATCAATGATACTTATGCCGAAGTGAAGTCTGATCTAGCTGAGCAACAAGATGAATTTCAAGTTGGTGATTATTTCAAAAAAGGATATGATAAAATGATGAGCAAGTTAAAATTTAAGCGGGAAAAGATTGTTGACATTCAAAAAGCTCTTCAAACTGCTGATGCAAATCAAGATAATAAATTAGACTTTGAAGAATGGAGAGCAGAGTTAAAATTGTAAGACAGTCTGGTTTGTTTTAGAATGCGTTATATATATACGTGTGTGTGTGTGTGTGTGTGTTTATATATATATATATATATATATATATATATATATATATATATATATATATATATATATATATATATATATATATATATATATATATATATATATATATATATATATATATATATATATATATATATAAAGAGAGAGAGCAAGCTGTTTAAAATTTGATATAGCACAAAACTGTTGCCTTATTTATATTTGTTATTTTAATTTTTGTTTTTCAGACGTGGTCATGCTGATGCTGAAATTGAGGCTGTGTTTGCTCAGTATGATATTGATGGTGATCGAACCCTTAATGAACTTGAACAGCAACAAATGCAGGATGACTTGGAAGGCCAAAAGGTATCCATTAAATTTGTAACTGGTTTATTAACTAAAAAATATAAAAGAAGACTTACTAAAATGAAAGTTGTACAACTGTTCGGTTTATAGATGGAACTCAATGATGAGATTCAAGAAGCGAAGAACGATGTAAGAAAAACGAGAAGTAAAGCAAGTTTAAGATCTGGAGATGGTGAAGATGAAAATGAAGAAAGCGACGATGCAAGTGATCCAAGCTCACAGAGGCGTGGAGGTCGTGGTGGCGTTGGATATGATGAATTTTCCGTGTATGTTTCAAAAAATTTATTAATAACAATATACGACTTTTTAATGATATATTACGTTACTGTAAGTAATTTTAATAACACAGTTTTGTTTAAAGCAAAAATGTTTCAAAGGTTTTATATTTTATATAGTTTGGCTCGACGTGTTGACCGCGTTGAACATAGTATCGGTAGCATTGTATCAAAAATTGACGCCGTACTACTAAAACTAGAAGCCATGGACAAGGCTAAGGTTAAGCGACGAGAAACGATGACCAGACTTTTGGATAGTATTGCAGAGCAAGGGCTTAACGGACCTGATGGACATAGAGATCAGATGGAAAGACTAGTCAGGGAAGATCTTGAGAGATCTGCAGTTGATGTTTCTTATCCAACATCAGCTGGATCCAAGAGAGTCAAAGATAGTTTTCTATCAATAAAGGTAATAAATTTTAAAAGAAAAATAATTTATTCCAATTAATTAGGTCTGTTTCACGTTACTTTATTAATGAAACTATTTATTAATGAGTTAAAAAAATATTTTTTTAAGTAAAAAAGATTAAGTAGAATTATATAATATTTTAAATTATTTTATTAATTTTAGACTTTTTAAATGTTTTCCTTTTCTTCTGCTGCATGTCAGGCTGTGATTGTTAATTAAAAACATGTAGTCATAAATTAAATTCATGTTTGTAATTTATAAGTTTTTAAGTTAAAAAACAAAGTGTTTTATTTAGAAAAGTCTATTTTAAGTAATTCTTTTTAGGAGGACTCCACGTTGAATAAATAAGACACATAGAATCATTTAACACTTTTTAATGGTCGCACCCTCTCAACCGAAATCATGGCTACATCTATTACTTTCAGCTTACGACAGTCAAGCTTGTGCTTGTTGCTAAAGATTGTTTTGGAAAAAATTGTCTTTGTTTTCCGCGTGCCAATTTTGCTTTTTTATTTTGTAAATACCTGATTACACAGTTTGGAGTTTTTTCTAAACATTAACCTTTTTTTTTAATATATAAAATCGACTTGAGCAGTTTAAAAATAACTTATTTTTTAATATTATTAATCGTTTTATTTAGAAGTCACATATCGTTTCAGATTATTATTTAAGATTATGGAGTAAGGGCATGACATTATGTTGTAACGAGAATTATTTATATGATAACATTATTGAATAAAAGTCGATTAAAATTTACAAAGTATTATTTTTGGGGGCGAGATGGAGTGGAATTTTTTTTACACTTTAATAAATTATAATTCCAATTTAGTTAAATTTAGCGCGGTTTTATTACTACGCAGGTTACAAACACGTTTCAAAGCTCTTTAATCTTTTAGATTCGTTGTTATAATGTATATTTTTGGCATATTGAAATTAATTAATCCTACAGATATAGGACGCACGAAATTCCGACTTTTCTTAATCACAATTAAAAATCATATAGGTTGTAGGGTAAAGCGGGGCATATCGGGATAGCAGGGCATAACGTGACAGTTATGCTTGAAACTTTATATCTCAGCTAAAAAAAATTTTTTTTTCAAAAAATTTTTGAAAAAAAGTTCTTCTGCGCATTTGCTTTATTTATAAAAAGTTTATATTTTTCAGTTTTTTTTATCCTCTTTTAGAATCTGGTTTTAAAAAAATATTTGGAGTTGAACTTTTTGAATAGTATTGATTTCAGTAAAATGACTTTTGTGGGGGCATATCGGGGCAACAAGCTATTTCTATAATTGAGTATATTTACTACCATTTCGTGATGCTGTTTACAGTTTGATGATTTAATTTTTTAATCTAAAATATTTTTTTATTTTATTTTGAAAATCAACTTTAGCGATAAATTTAAAGAAATTCCAATTTTTTTAGCTTAACTTCAATTATTAATAGTGTTTAATGTAAATAAAAAAGGTAAGAAATTATATAAGAAAGATCAATCATCCAAAACGGGATGAAGTTCAGTTTTAGCTGTGATTAAAAAAGATCAGAAAAATTAGAAAAGCTACTGTTACATATGGTATATTTAAGTTGGCATATTTCTAATAAGTTAGCTCATCGAAAATGTTGCCAAATAGTTTCAGGATTTTTTTTGTGTGATTTATATGACCCATAAACTTTTTTGTTTAATTTCAAATTTAGTAACAGTAACCAATTTAATAATATATAGGTTAGAGTAAAGCGGAGGTATTTTGTAATAAAAAACACACAAAAAAATATTTTTTATTTTAGCTGTTATTTGTTTTTTGTGGTGTATGGGTGTATGGGCGTGTAGTTTTTATGGATATGTTACTTTTTTGACAGTTTAATGTTTAAACATATTTAGGCGATTGATAGTCTTCATTTTTGATTATTTTTAAAGCTTTACAATTGAAGATTGTTAACTGTCCCGTTTTGCCCCACCTACTTGCAAAATGTAAAAGTTTTGCTAGTCTAGAGTTTCGTTACTTTGGTTGTCATAACTTATTTTTATAATTTTTTTTTTGTTTTTTTATTTTCTTATATCAATAAATTTTAGGAAATTTATAAAAAATAGTGTTAACTATGATTAGTTTATCCGCAACTAGCATTTGTTTTTTAGGCGTCCTTATATGCCCCGCTCCACCCTGTTGTTGTACCTATGTCGATTTACAATTATGAACTGAACAGACGCGTTAAAGAGCTAAAAAAAAAATTAATGTCATAAATACAATTATAAATTGTAATGATACAAATTAAAAAATTTATGGATTTATAAGTGAGTCAAACGTTTAAAATTTTCTATAACAAAATTGAACGGCTGGTTCTACTTTGATAAAGTTTTATTTTTGCTTCGAGCCGTTTAATTTTTACTTTTTTTACAATTTTATATCTAGGATATCGTTCTGCATTGAATATATCTTTAAATGATTTACAATCACCTCTATGTTTGGTCTATCGTAATCTGTTTATTCTTACAGAACGTTTAAACATTGTAAGCGTACCAGCTGACTCCATTGTTCCAGTACTTCTTTTATGGTTGATGTTACAGTTATGTGAAGCATGCAAGATATTATAGGCTGGAGATTCTTTTTTAACTCCCAGTATTTGCAATCTTTACAGTTTTTAGACAGTGTTTTGCTATCTACTCATTTACCATTAGAAACAACAGTCACCACGCTTTTCAAGGATAAATATCCACTTTTTGCCATTTCCCTTTTTCACTAACAGTTATAATATTAAAGTTGTAATATAAACGCAATGCTATGAAAAATCCACATAAAAAAACATTGATCATCAACATACCTTTTGCACAATTTGTGGTTTAGAGTTATGAGTTTAAGAGCAAAAACAACAGTATTAAGAACATAAACTCTAGACAGTAGTATGTATAAACATTGATTATGCTATTCTCCAATAAAATATTTATCTTTATTTGTCAGTTTCTATTCATCCGTTTTTTCTATGGGAACTGGAAAAGGAAAAGAAAGTTAATCACGAAAACATAATTTAGCTTTGGACAAGTTAAAATTTATACTACGCATGCCATAGTATAAGTTTAAAGGTTTCCCGTCATCCGTTTTTTTTTTTTTTTCCACTCTATCAAAAAAGTTTCCACTTTATCAAAAAGCGGAAGAATGGAACTGACCTTGAGGGTTTTCTAAAAGTCTTACATGATTGCTATGCGCGAAATTATTTGTAGATATAATAATGTTTTTAAACAACAAAGACAAAATCACGATCATGGAAAGCTAAGTTAAGTAAAACTTACGGAATCAAAACCTAATTATCAACAAATATTTAAGAGAAAGAACGATGAAAACAAGAAAAAAGCTTTTTTTGAAAGTAAAAGAACTATGTTTCAAAGGTAAGTTTGTCATAATTGTTTATATAAAACTAATATTACAAGATTTTTTAAACCTAGATTGTTTTGATTATTGCGTAAACTAGAATGTTAAAAACTTTTATAACGACTTGTTTGGAAATGGGGAAATTCCTCTAATAAATAAACCAACAAGAGTAACTGCAATATTAGCCTCATTAACAAACAATATCATAACTACTTATACATTCAGTAAACTAGCTTAAAATAGAATAATTAAGAGTTACACATCCGATCATATTTCTATTATTATTACGTTTTATATAAATAGTAGTACTAATTGATCAAATGCTTGATTAGCTGTACAAATGTTTTAAAATTTAAAGAACAATTTTTATTAACTGGAGCCATATCAGTACTTTGACAGAAACAAATACTATGTAAATACTATGTAACTTTAATATTTAAGTTTTTAAAAATGTAAAACTTTTAAAATAAACAAAAGTTTAAATCACCATGGACCATTAAAGTTCTCAAATAAAACGTTAAACAAAAAACTATAAATCGAATACTTAAAATCAAAAACAATTGAAAGTAAAACACTATATAAAACCTATGCAAAACAATTAAAAATTCAAGGAAAAACCCTGAACTAAAATGCTAATTTATAAATGAAATCATTGCAAAAATAAATTAAAAACATATTCTATGCTAAAAGGTATTAAAACAGGTAGCGAGCCCTTTCATGATCTTATAGATATAGCAAGCGACATAAACAAATTCTTTGTATCAGTTAGACCAAAATTTAGTCAAAAAATATCATTATAATGACTATTTCAATAAATATCTTTATCTCCCTCATAACTTTATCTCCCTTATAACCTCTTCTGTAAGTAAAATAATAAAGCAAATAATAGTCTATATTAATTAATTGATCCGGTTGATATTAATTGAATGATTGCCTTTACTTCAAGTAAAGAATATGCTTCGATTAATAAATAAAAACAAGTAATACATGTTTAATTTGGCAAGAAATAATTCTTGACCCCCATCTCCAATGGAGAGGAACAAACAAATCTCAGCCGTTATTGCTAAATTTTTGTAGTTTTTAATTTTTTTAAATAAAAAAAGAATTTTTTAAAAATGTAAAACGAATTGTAAATTAGAATTATAATAAAGCAAGTTTATTGTTTTGACGTTGTTTATGAAAAAAGCTTATTTTTCAAAGTTTAATTACATTTCATTGAAACAAACATTAGATACAGACATGGAACTAACTCCAAACATTTAAATATTTATACTTATGTCATTTCAAATATTTGTTAGTACTAGAAGATTTCAGAGAATTTCATAGAGATCAAAATTCATAATCTTTTCTACTAAAACTTAAAAAAAAAATATTGCAAACAAAATGTCATTAAAAACGACATTTCAATTTTTAGTTAAAAATTGTTGTTTTTTGTATATAAAATTTAAGCAATTTAAATTTTATTAAACCATTATTTCTGAAATCTCTATAAAGTTCTGGTTCTTTTGAGACCCGGATATATATATTTTGAAGAAAAAGAAATTCACTGATATATGGGAGCCAGTGTGTAATCATCACGGCCGACGACAAGGGTTTTGAAGTGGGGGGCGGGGGCACAATCATTAAATTAATCATTAAAAAAAAATCAATTTATCTATATCAAGGTTTTTCTTGAAAAACCTTGATATAGATAAATTAATGATTAAAAAATTTGTTAGATGCTTTTTACCTCACAGTTCACCCACTTCAAGCTCTGGCAGTTTAAACAGAGTTTGTACACGGTTAGCAAAGTGTCCTGGCCGACACTTTCTTGTTAACCTCCTGACACATTCTTGTTAACCTCCTGACATCATGTCAAAGAGCTTCATATAGCCGTAGTCGTAAATTAAACTGTTAAACTGGGGAATAAACTATTTATATAATAAATTCAGGAAAAGGTTAAAAAATAGTTAGGTAAGGATAAAACTGCTTCACTTTAAAATATCTTTTTGCAAAAACGAAAGGAATAAGTTTCTAATTTTAAAATTATTTACATATAGACTTTTGAGAAGAGCAGAGATTATTGTGAACCTGTGAAAAAAAAATCAGACCATTAGGTGAAAATTAACAAAAATGGAGCTGTTTCACACGCCTTGACTTTCATGAAATTTAAGTTTTATTTCTTTAAAATCAGGCAGGTTTCTATTCTGAGTAATAAAATACTCAAAGAGATCAATAAAATGGCTAACTAAATTTCTCTCTCCAGGGAATCGCGGTTTTTGACCTGCAACTTTTTTGATTCTGCAATTTTTAAAGTAAAACTTAATTTCATAAGTTTTGATATTTAGTCTTATTATTTAAGAATACTTTATGTCATAAAGTAACAAATTGTTTAAAAACAATCGTTTAAAATCAGAT